TATACAGAATTACATTTAATTAAATCATCCTCTATTTCCTTTTTTCCTAAAATCAATGTGTAAAGCACCCTTGTTCATTAGTAAACTATTCAGGTAGGTATTTCTAACGACGTAGATATGATCTGTGTTCAGGGAACAATCATGGAATCGTAGAACAAACGTACAACACTTGAAACTGTGCAGACCACTAATGTACATGCATATGTGCCAAAAACCCTCCTTTCGTCAATCTCCCTAATATGTGATCCCTTCGTATCTCAGATGTTTACTAGGATAAACAGAATTGCAAAAATCGCTGTTCTCGATATACCTGACTTCTACTAAAACCCCCAACATCTTTGTGCAAACAGGATAGAAAAAAACCCAGTCTCTGAAACAGAAATCTTTCAGCACTCTCACCAGTGTACGAAATAAAGATCATGAAGAGCAAAACAGAGCGAACTGCCAGCCAGGACTCATAAGCGCAGCCATCTAGCCTTACTACTGCATTCCCCCAAAACAAGCGACAATCTCTTCATTCACTCAGAGAAAAAACAGTGAAAGGAAGTTTCCACATTTGTTTCCTCTCTACATCTAGCCGTGACAAAAAAAAGGTTAACGAACGGATTTGGGTAAAGCAATATACGAATGCCAAGCACACCCTTTCTGAACAAATCAGTCAGGAAAGAAATATCGCCAACACCAGATGTCAGTGCTGTCTTTTTTTTTCCTCGAACTCGTCATGCAGAATCAGCCTTTCTCCTTTGACACAATACGAATCTGCTTTCAATGTTGCTAACACATTGAAATTTATAGAGCGTGAGTGTTGAAGCCTAATCTAGCGCCTGAAGCAGAGACTGTGACCGAGGAAGAACCAAGAGCTTTTTGCTCCGCATGAACGGGGAAGAGCCCGTTAATTCATTCCGTCACGAAGACGAGGCTGCGCAACTCACATAAACACGACTCCGGAAAACAAGGAGAAATACTGAGAAGCAGAGCAACTAGCCGGAAGGAGAGCTATCATCAAAGCCGGTTATCTGAAGCTGTAACCGACGAAAAAAATGAAAATCTTCCGCCGCTACGTGAGGATACAGATGACGAATCCCCACTGAAACCAGGCAGAAAATACGTGGGGAAAAAACATGACATTTCCGGAACTTTTAAAAACGGAACAAACTCACGCTTACAGACCTGAGGTGCTTCGGGATTGGCGGACTGCTCTCCCACGATGAGGTTGCTGCTCGGGCTTGCTTTCTCGCAGG